TTCTCTACCTGATGTTGAACCACATAAAAACCCTGGATTCCAGAAATAGGCTTATTTCCTTTCACTCAGTGACACATTTTGAGGTCAAAGTCCCAGGGTTTGCTCCATCCCTTACAAAATAGCATGAGTGGAAATTTGGTTTTCCTTTTTGGGTAAAGTTTCTACAGAGCTTGCTGATAAAGCTCTTTAATTTTACTTTCTGCAAAACAATTATTTCTGGAGCTAAACTGAGATGAAGCTGATAATGGGTCTCAATTCTTCAACTTTAAAGCAGAAACTGGGGTCATAAAGACAGGGAGTCCTGAAATACTCTCTCCTTCTGCTGAAGCCCACGGAACCCAGGGGAAGGGCAGGCAAGACTTTTCAGTTACTCTTCATTTGAGCCTTGCAAAATGGTTTTCTTTCAGGGACAGGTCTCTCAGAATAAAAGAAACTTGAGTGATGAGTTTTTAAAAAGTAATCTGAATGAGACCTTTGTAAAACTAGCCCATCTGAAGCACCGTAATTGCTAGATGTTTTTGAGGAGCCATCTCCAGGACATCCATTAAAAAAAAAAAACAAAACAAAACAAAACCAGCACGCCTGGTAAATGTATCTCCTTCTATGAGTGGAAAGCCCTTGATTGACATTGGCCTTTCAACCTGTATTTATCGAGTATGCCTAATACAGGCTCAATACTCAAACAGGTGGCAATACCTCTGATCGCCTCTCACATTTGCCTTTTCTCTGACATCCCGACGCCCCCAGTCTTGACAGAAATCACACCATCACCCGAATGTTCTCTCTGTGTTTGATTCCAGCTGTGAAAGTTCAGGATGAGCTGGAGAATGTAAGCCTAGTTTGAAGTACAGGAGAAATCTGCTGGCACAGAATAAAAGCTATACTGTTTATTAAGGTTATGCAAATAGCCGTTGTACTTAGATCTCTGAGCCTGGCTTTTTCTTTTTCTTTTCTTTTCTTTTTTTTTTTCTTTTTAATGAGGACATTTCTTCGTGCCATTGCCAAACTAAGGCAAAAGAAAACTTTCTCAATCTTTATGATGCTTTCATCAGATAACCCATATAAAATATCTTCCAGAATACTCTGTCTCCTCAGACCTTAGAGTTTGTTCTTGGGAAGTTGGAGATAAATGAAGATGGCCTTAATAAATCAATCTAACATTGTAAATACAATGTTTCTGGTTATTTTCCGCCTTGGGGCAATAGGCCAGATATCACCAACAATTCAGATATTCTGGCCTTTCTCAAAATGTCACTGAAGCAAGAATATTACAGTTTAGCGAATTGTTGGACAAAATCAGGATGCTTTTTAGTAGTTTTGCCATAAATAAAAATCAGCTGTCTTCTGGAAGTACCTATAACACACCTCTAGCTGGGTTTTGAATTTGGACTAAAAAGAATCCGTTGAAGAGGGAAATGTTTCCCTTCTCAGCGTGAAATTCCAGGGGCACCTGACTGGCTCACTCAGTAGAGTGTGCAACTCTTGATCTTGAGGTCGTGAGTTGGAGCCCCATGTTGTGGGGTAGTGTTTACTTAATTTTAAAAAATGCTGTAATAAATAAATAAAAAGTGGAAATTCCAAGGAGAACATTTAAACCTGACTTTTGGCAGACATTAAGAAACAAACATGGAAGAATTGTGTTTGGGCAGGGAATGTTTGGGGAGGGGAGGGTTGTTTTATTTAGAGATTTGTTTGCTGTTGAGTGTTCAGAGGTGCTTGTTTGCCCCTCCTGTAAAGCCATTACACCCTTATACTAGTTTGCTAGAGCTGACAGAATGAAGTACCACAGACTAGGTGGCTTAAACAATAGAAATTTACTTTCTCCCAGTTCTGGAGGCTGGAAGTCTGAAATCAAGATGGCAGTTGATTTCTTCTGAAACCTCTCTCCTCAGCTTACAGAAGGCGGGCATCTCCCTGTGTCTTCACATGATCTTCCCTCCTACACGTCTGTGTCCTTTTGGGTTGGGGGTCCACCCTAGTGAGCTCATTTTAGCTTAATTACCTCTTTTAAGGCCTTACCTCCAAATAGAAGCATGTCCTGACGTACCAGGGATTAGGACTTAAACACCTAAATTTGTGAAGGACACAGTTCAGCCCACAACAACCCTGAGTCAGGGTCTCCTTGCCAAATCTATAAGACCTTTTCTTTGGAATAATTCTAAGAGGAGAAGGTGGAAAGGTATTCCTGAATTTTCCACAAGACCTGGCTAGCTTCTGCAGCAACTTTTTTTGTTTTTCTCCTCCTTCAATATGGAAGAATTAAAAAGTCCCCTGAGAACTTTGAGAGCACCTTGCTCTCTTTGCCTATAATTCTTTTGTTTCTTCCAGACAAAAACGCACCTCTATCCATTTGCATATCCCAACTAGGAAATCTCTCTCCCTGTGTTTGCATATAAGTGATAAGAAGGAGCTGGGCAGTGAATCTGGTCAATCAGAGGCTTCACTGACAGATACCTTGAGATCACCCCCCATTTGCTGAGCACCCCAACATACCTGACTCTGTACCAAGTGCAGACGTGTCCTCTCATTTACTCCTAACAACCTTGTGAAGTAGGGACCATTCTCAACACTATTTTGCAGATGAGATCATGGGATCGTAGACACGTTTGGTAATGTGTGGAAAGGCCTAGGGCTTAGTCCACTGGCCAGCAAGGACTTGAACCCAGGTAGTCTCATTCCAGACCTGAGCCCTTAATGTCTTCACAATACCTTTCTCTAGTCTTGCTGGCAGAGAGGAAACCTGTGTGTGGGGAGCTAACTGTATTTTTTTGAGCACCCAATGCAGAGAACTGTCTCGGGGCTTCTTAGAAGCCCTGGGTTCTAGCTCCAGCTCAACTAATGCTTGCTAACTAATCTTGTCTCCTAGTTATGTGAGGTGGGAGAATTGGATTCGATCCATGCTTCTCAAACTTTTAGACTGAGATTCATAATGAGAAATACATTGTACTATGTAGTTCAGTACACAAATGCACACACACCAATACACACGCATGCGTACATGGGCCGCATAAATGAAACAAATTATTCACGAATCACGCACCCACGTGAAATACGTGTGAATGCCCTCTGATCGTTTCTCTTCTCTTTCAGTTACTTTTGGAAACACTGATTGTGACCTACTCAAATGGGTCGGTCAAAAGCTGAACCAACCCAGTTTGGACTTCTATAACCTTAACATCCTGTTAGCCTAGGTGGATGTTTCTTTGGAGCTTCTCTTATCTTAAATGCACAGACATTATTTGAGTATTACATATTACAGAGGACTGCCCTTTTGCCTCCAGTCTAAGGTAATTGCATAATAGTAATAATAATCACGTCCACTTATGGTGTACCTCCCCTGTGACAGAGGCTTAAAATGCTCTATCTCCTGTAGCTATGGGCTATAGGTATTATTATCTCTGACTTACAGATGAGGAGACCAAGGCTCAGATTAAGGAATTTGCTCGAGGTCACATAGGTAGTAAGTGGCAGAGCTGAGATTTGAACTGATGTCATTCTAATTCCAAAGCCCTTACGTGCTTTTCTTGTAGGGGAAGGGTTATAAAGGGGTCAAGAAGGAGAAGTGAGGTCTGGAAATTGCTGTACCTGAATGCAATTTCTTCCCTAATGGTCAGCTGTCCCTGGCAGAAACAACTGTCCTTTGGGGTCCTAAGCCACCACTATAGCAGTGATTAAAATCTGTACCTGGGGAGCATTTCCCACCCTCCCCCAACCCCAGGCCACCTCCAGACCAGTTAAATCACAGTCTCTGGGACTGGGACCCAGGCTTCTGTTTTTCAAAGCTCCCAGGTAATTTCAATGTGTGGCCAAAGTTGAGAACCTTTACTCTGAAGTTAAAGAAATGAAGGAGTTCTAAGGGCTTTTCCATTTTTCTTCCTGCAAACAAGATTCCATAAAATATTGCCAAAACGTCTTCAACTACTTTTACAAAGCTGAAGTACAAACTGTTTCTAGTTCTTTGGAGCACATTTAACCAAAAAAAAAAAACAAAAAAAAAAAAACGAAAACAAAAAACAAAAAAAACATCAGGGTAACCTTGTATCTACTTCAAAACCAAAGAAAGTAGACATTGCTGAAGGGATGGATGGAGAGGTGGTCCGGGCACCTGTCTCTGTGATACTTCATAACTCAGCTCACATAATTTTGAAAGTCATTTTTCATATGAATAAGGAAGTGAGTTGTTGATTTAGTTAATCAGAAGCTAGGCTACCCAGTGGTCGTTGGCCAAGTTCACAGGGTACAATGTAGAAAGCCAAACCAGACTCAGGTGACTGTAAATATTATAAGCAATCACATTTTCTTAAAAAGAGCCTCCATGGAACATTTCCACTTTTTCCCATGGATTAGGGGAACTGTGGTCAAACCGAAGACCCTCCCTCACATCAGTTCCCACAGGAACAAGAAGATGCCTTTTTTTTTTTTAAGATTTTATTTATTTATTTGACAGAGAGAGACACAGCGAGAGCGGGAACACAAGCAGGGGGAGTGGGAGAGGGAGAAGCAGGCTTCCCGCTGAGCAGGGAGCCCGAGGCGGGGCTCGATCCCAGGACCCTGGGACCATGACCTGAGCCGAAGGCAGACGCTTAACGACTGAGCCACCCGGGCACCCCAAGGAGATAGCTTTTGACTAACCTCTCACCCACCCTGATTTTAGGCCTGTGTCCTTCCAGCGTGTGATCTGTGTATTCCATTTGGAAATATAACTGACCACACTCAGTGTCCCTGTGGCCCATGCAGGACTCTCTAAAACAGGGGCTATCTCATATGGCTGGGTTTTGTCCATGTCTCCAGAGGACAGTTATAATAATGTTAAAAATATGTACAATTTTTGTCCTTCCGAGAATGAAAATACAGTATTACCATAACAACAACAACAATCCGTCTTATTCTGGAAGCCCCTGACAGATGACAGGTCCCAAGCACTCCCGCGGAGGCCAACCTGGATAGAGGCCCAAGCTTCTATTCTGCCCTTAGTCACAGTGCTCAATGTTTGCTTGCAGAATGACGTGGCTGTGCTTCTGAAACCAATATCAGAAAAGATTCAGGAAATCCAGACTTTCCGAGAGAGAAACCGGGGGAGTAAAATGTTCAATCATCTCTCGGCTGTCAGCGAAAGCATCCCTGCCCTCGGCTGGATAGCTGTGGTGAGTCCTGTCTGCGTGCAATGGCATCCCGGCACCTTGTCCCTTTTTTGGAGTGTTTGGGAGAACTTCTAGCTACTTTCGGGCTCTTTCCTCTGTCTATGACACTGCGAGGAATTCCTCTCAAGGTGAATGCTCCAGATCTTTCTTACCCTGTTTATGGTTCAGTGCTTTGTGTTCTGAGATGTGGAAATGTCTCACGCCCGCCCCTTTACAGAGCAAAATGTTTGCCTCCAACTTTCACTTAATATTTCCATGGCTTTTCTTCATCTTGAAGACATTCTCTTTCTTATCCTATTTTTTTTCCTTCTATGCTTGGGTGATGGTCCTGCTCTCAGTCCCCCAAACCCGGTCCTTATGTCAAGGAGATGAACGATGCCGCTACCTTTTACACTAACAGGGTCCTAAAAGACTACAAACACAGGTACGTATTCCTTTATTAGCCAAATTTTCAGTTGCTTGCTTGTTAGACATTTGTCCCAAAGCTTCATGTAGTTCAACCCCTGATTCCTCTCAAAGGCGAGTTTACGGTAAATGTTAAGGACATATCCCACCTTTGCAGCTAAAGCAAAGTGGGAAGTGAGGTCTGTTATCCAGATAATGTATGTGCATTAGGAAATCTGCCTCAGTTCTCTTGTGATGATAAACTCCCTACTTGAATCCGTGTGCCCCCATACGTATTCCCACAACAGCCAGAGAGCTCTGTGATGGTTCGTGAAGGCCCCGCCCTAGAGGGTCACAACTCTTTATGCTGCCCAAGACAGAGTTGGTGGGTGAGCAGAGAGAAGAAAGGAGAAATCGGGAAATGAAGTGTAAATGAGCAACAGAAATGAGATGTGACAATTAACCAGGCCACTGAGAGGGAAACCATGAGTGCGTTAAGACAAAATACAATTGGGGTGGACAAGAGAGACACATCTATAAAAAGAGCAGCATAGATGACTCCAAACCAAGCTAAAGAACCAGATTAAAAAGGCATCGCATTCTACAGTACAAATAATAGATCCTAGAGACACTTAAAACTGGTGTTGGAATTGAAAATGGGATCGAATGTAGACATGCCATAAGTGTGTCTAAACTACTCAAGGGATGTCATGGGATTTCTTCCCCTCTGATACATAATGTCACGGCTGGCCCTATAAACAACTAGCTAAATGTGATGTGGCTGATATCTAGTCACTCAGAGAAGAAATGAGGCAAAAATAAAAGCAATAAAGTTCCATTCCCTGGGCACAAGAGACGATGGATATAGGAGTATTGAGCCGGGCTCAAGAGTGGATCCCCCTCTGAGCTCTTGGGTGGCAGAAGCAGAAGTGCTCATCAGCTGGCAAATGCAGGGGCTCCTGCATCTCACTCGCTGGCCTAGGCTGTTCAATTGGAGAAACTTGAGGACCAGGTCACTGACCAATATTACAATTCAAAATTTGCATAACTTTCACTTTTAGGTTATTTTTCATTTTAATAAACATTGAGTAGATATGAAAGAATATTTATAAAATATATGGAAGATACAATCACAACAGAAAAAATACTCCCTGTATCCACCACTCAGTTTAAGAAATATGTACCGATATTTTTTACTGCAATAAACAGACAGACTCAGCAATTCTACTCCTAGATATATTTCCAAAAGAAATGAAACATGTTCACACAAAAGCTTGTACACAAATGTTTGTTGCAGCATTATTTACAATAGCCAAAAAGTGGAAACAACCCAAATGTTCGTCAACTGCAATAGATAGATAAAATGTATATCCATACAATGGTATGTTATTCAGCCATTAAGAAAATGAAGTATTGGGCGCCTGGGTGGCTCAGTTGGTTGAGCAACTGCCTTCGGCTCAGGTCATGATCCTGGAGTCCCAGGATTGAGTCCCACATCGGGCTCCCTGCTCAGCGGGGAGTCTGCTTCTCCCTCTGGACCCTCCCCAACTCATGTGCTCTTTCTCTCTCATTCTCTCTCTCAAATAAATAAATAAAATCTTTAAAAAAAAAAAGAAAATGAAGTATTGATACAAGAGCAGCATGGATGAACCTTGAAAACATCCTAAGTGAAAGAAGTCAGATACAAAAAAAAAAAAAACCCACATATTGTATGATTCCATTTATATGAAATTCTAGAATAGGCAGATCCATAGAGACAGAAAATAGCTTAGCAATTGCCCGGAGCTGGGGAAGTTTGGGGGAAATGTGGGGTAACTGCTAATGGATATGAGATTTCTTTTTTGGGGTGATGTACTCTTACAAAATTGACTGGTGATGGTTGTATGACTCTGTTGACCTAATCTATTGGATTATACACTTTAAATGGGTGAATTGTATGGGATGTGAATTGTATCTCAGAAAAACTATTATATTAAAACAAAACAAAAAAACAGCCACAGTGCTGAGCTGCCCTCAAAGAGTTCAGTCATCCTGTGTTCGGGAAACAGGCGTTTGGTTGAGCACTTGTGCCCAGTGCTACAACTCTGTGTTGCATTAGGGACTGGGTGTTCCCTGTTTGTAGGAAATCTTGCTACAGCACCCTCCTTACCACTCTAAACTTCTCCCAATTTCATGACTCTCTTGGCCAGATAATGCAATCAGATTATTAAAAAGCAAGCCAGAAGACTTTTTTTTTCCAATACCAATTCTCCTTTCTGAAAGCACATTGTTTTTCATTTTGCATTAGAAGCGGTGCAGAAAGAAATGGTCTCCCTCCACGTTCATCTCCCCGTGAGAGATCACGTGAGGACGCATGGCCTGAATTGCTGGTCCACTCCCCGGGGTCCTCTCTGCCCCACGCCTGGAGCGCAGGGGGGGCATTTGGCTCCTCTCAGTAGAGACCTGGGTCACCAGCCTGTCAGGGTCCTTTTCAGAATTGGAAAGACAATTGGTCCAGGGTCATCCAGAGCCTTAGTTACTGGATTCCCATGTTCCCACCAATCTTTTTTAAAGTTCATTTTAGATCCTAACTCTACTCTCTTCCACCCTCTTTTATAACAAAGCGATTTACGCCATGTGGATTGGGTGAAGTCATATTTGAGCATTTGGAGTGAGCTGCAAGCATACATCAAGGAACACCACACCACAGGCCTTACTTGGAGCAAAACCGTAAGTACCGAGCCTTTTGCCACCCAGGTAAAGAAAGGCCATAGGAATATTCATTCCTGGTTGCCTAGAAACGTCACACTTTAGAATTTACCTCAAGGAAAGCGTAAGATAAAATAGGTATGTAGAAACTGTTTATGCAAGTGTCATTTGTCATGGAGCAATCTGGAGACTGCCCATAGGACATGCAGAAAGAAAATGGTGAAGTTGTCCATGGTAAGAACCCAGCGAAACATTCTTCAGCTGTTAAAAGTAACATATATGAGGGGCACCTGGCTGGCTTAGTCAGGAGAGCTTGTGACTCTTGACCTTAGGATCATGAGTTTAAGCCCTGTGTTGGGTGTAGAGATTACTTAAGTAAATAAATATTTAAAATCTAACATATATGATGTCTACATGGGAAATGATTTACCAGCCAATGTGATAGAGTGCAAAAGGTTTTGAGCACTAAGATGGCATATATATTAAGAAACTGTGATAAAAATTAAAGGAAACGGGAAAGTTTGAAAATAGTTACAATTTTAAGGAGATAGAATTACTAATAAAAATGTCTTTTTAAATGTTTTAAATTTCTCTTTTGGCATTCAAGATTTCTCCAATAATATTTTTGAATACTCGGGCAGTCCTAGTGCTTTGAATAGCATCTTAGTTGTAGGATAAGATCCCAGCCTTTGAATGTTGACCGTGACCTTTGCCCTGCCCTTGTCTTCAGCCTGGTCCGTCCTCTCTTCCCGCCTCTCACTGCTTCCCAGCACTGCCAAACTGCTTGTGGAATCCTGAACACATGCAGTGCTTAGGTCAAACCAAATCAGATTGTTGTCGTTTCAAAGTTTGCAGATCTCAGATGGTTTAGCCCTTTCTGCAATGTCCCAAACATAGGTCATGCCATATGACCTTCCCTGGAACGGATGTTTCTCCTCTCTGCTTCCTTGTATCTTGAATGTAGCTCAGTCACAGCCCTCAGCTCATACGATTGTCATTTGTATGTGTGTGTTTTGGAGGCTCTCCCACTCAACTGGAAACTCATCTCTATCTCCAGCCCCTAACACAGTACCTGGCACAGAGCAAGTACTCAATAAATGGTTTGAACTGAACTGTGAGGTAGGAAGGGGAGCCTGGGCGATTCAGTCAGTTAAGCATCTCACTCTTGATTTCGGCTCAGGTCATGATCTCAGGGTCATGAGATCGAGCCCCAGGTGGGGTGCTGCACTCAGGGCAGTCTGCTTGAGATTCTCTCTCCCCTTTCCCTCTGCCCCTTTACCCTGCTCTCACGCACACACGCATTCTCTCTCCCTCTAAAATAAATATAATCTTAAAAAAAAATTGTGAGGTAGGGGACTCTTAGACTCGTCCTTGCCCTTTTAAGTCTCTGCACTTGTTATAGAAAGGCTTCCCATGGAAACTTCCTTCCATTAGAAATGAATGTTGCCTTTAAATGGTCAAAGTGGATGGTCCAACTGGTGTTAATATTAAGAAAATAAAGTGGCGAATTTGTGAATTCCGTTTAGGGATAGAACTCTCATTCTCCCAGTGGCCATGCTCCCGGCCCTAACTCTCATCCAGAACATTGATGTTGGTGAGGTCAGCTTAATACCAATGCCAAGTTTGTGACTTTTCAAAGGAGTGTGGGACTTCTGCCTTTGCTCGCCAACCCTTGTACAAACGTTAACATTGACCCCCATAGACTAATACTTCTTCTTATTTTCTACTTTTCCTATTTTCTCCATAAGCAAAAATGCACAGTTGCAAAGTACAACAACTAAGTTCATTATTTTTCTTCTGCCTACAATATTATGATTTTTGAGAAGAGTTCATAAACGCTTGAAGTGTTTTAATATGGAAAGTTGTATAAGGATGCGGGTGGGTGTCTGGGTGGATGGATTGGAATTACTTTTCATACACGTCCAATGAGATGCTGTCTTGTTATAGATCAGTTTGTCATAAAGGGGAATTGTCACGTGTTTGCCACGGAACTAGGTCATCACCAGAGAGTAGTAAGCCAACAAGCAAGAGTCCTTGGATGTCTTATTATTATATTCATGGTAGATAAATGGAAAAGAAAAGAGAACCCATTTGTGAGAAATAATCATGTCAATAAAAGCTAGTCCATTAATTTTCTAACAACACCCACGGAAAAGAAAATTACTTTTAAATGGTTTCAATACCTTTTACCACAATGTACGAAGCTGAGTTAATGGTGTTTTGAACATATAAGATAAGAATCAAATATTAGGGGCACCTGGGTGGCTCATTCGGTTGAGCATCTGCCTCTTGATTTTGGCTCATGTCATGATCTCAGGGTCATGAGATGGAGCCTCGTTTCAGCTCCATGCTGGACATGGAGCCTGCTTAAAATTCTCCCTCTCTCCTGCCCCTCCCCCCTCTAAAAAAAAGAATCAAATATTAATTATAGAAAAATAAACATAGTTGTTTTCCTTTATTCTAGAGTGAATACTTAGGTTTTCATTATTTTCATTAGAAATATAAGCCTTGTAACAATGGCTTTCAAACTTTAAAAGGCAACTAATGACGAGAAATACAGTTCACACATATACACACACACCCCCCACACCCACCCTGTTCACAATACTAAAATAAGTTTTACAAGAACACTTCTTCTCTATATGAAATGCATTCAAATATTTTTTTCTATTTTATTTCATGTTTTATAAAATTCTGGCTGAGACCTGCTAAACTGATTTCATGACCTGACACATGGTACATTTTTCAAAACTTGTTATAAAACATAAATGTTATATTTATATAAGTGTGTATATATTTTATATACAATATAATCCTTGGAGCAGGCATTGGGCATCGTAGATTACCGTAAGAGTAATGGCAGCTATTACGTACTAAGCACATATTATGCTGCGGGAGAATTCGATTTAAAATGGTAATTGCAGGGGCACCTGGGTGGCTCAGTCAGCTAAGCATCCAACTCTTGATTTTGGCTCAGGTTGTGATCTCAGGGTCATGAGATCGAGCCCCATGTCGGGCTCTGCACTAGGTGTGAAGCCTGCTTAAGATTCTTCTACCTCTCCTTCTGCCCCTCCCCACTTTCTGCTCATGTATGCACACGGGTGCTCTTTCTCTCCCTCAAAAATAAATAAATAAATAAATAAATAAATAAATGAAATGAAATGGTAATTGTTATAAAGCAGAGCACCTACTTCACTTCTTTGATGGTAAAGTTTTGGCCAGATATTAAAAGTGAGGAAGGATTATGGTAAGAAAGTGTTGGTTCAGGGAACATCCTATGTGCAAAATCTTTTACAAGCTTTAAGACGTATGTATAGAAATATATTTCCTAATATTTTGGTCCTCTTCTTCTAAGGTTTGGGGTAAAATATATATATATATTTCAAAGTATATTATAAAAACCAAAGATTTTGGGATGCCTGGGTGGCTCAGTCAGTTAAGTGTCTGCCTTCGGCTCAGGTCCTGATTCCAGGGTGCTGGGATCGAATCCCGCGTCGGGCTCCTTGCTTGGTAAGGAGCCTGCTTCTCCCTCTGCCTCTGCCCCTCCCCCTGCTTGTGCTCTCTCTCTCTCTCTCTCTCTCTCTCTGACAAATAAATAAATAAAATCTTAAAAAACAAAACAAACAAAAAACCATAGTTTTTAATTTTAAATCTAAATGATTAAAAACTATTTAAAAGATTCCAAAACATACTCCATAGCATAAATCAGACTGATTTCACTTACTATGGTCTGTCAACCTAGCAGCAAAATGAACGATAATCGTTCAGAATCACAGCATTCTTGCACGGACTGTTAGAATGCTCTGATCAGATGTCCTTGGGAAGAAAAAATAAATAGGAATAACTTCATGGCTTTGCCCACTGATCACAACCATGCAAACAGAATGTACTTATAAGATGATAAGGATCCAAGAGAATGTAGCAAGATGTGATGTTGGCGTTCACAGATACCACAATGCTCAGAAGGTTGAAGAAACACATTCCATCTTAAGGGACACAGTCAAAAAGCTTATGGTGACTTAACATCTCAAGTATTTTGAGTAACCCTTGCGTTTTCTCCATTTTCAAATCGGATGTTGAGATTTGAGCCCTCTGGGGCTTTGGGGGCCCAGCAGCAGGCTGCGTGAGGCTCTGGGCTCCCCAGAGCCCACCGCCCCCAGAAGTGATCGCTCCCCCTGAGTTCACAGTTGGGACTGGATTTGCCAACTCACACCTCCTGACATTCGCCCCAAGACCGCAGCTGTGCCAGGCAACTGTCGCTCCCTTCAGTTGTCAGGGCGAAATGTCGACTTGGAGGCTGGTGATTCTTCGGGCCTGAGACTGGAGTGGGGGTCTGTGCGCAAGTGTGCAGGCAAGTGGGGGGCAGCAGCTGTGGGTCATCTCTGGAGCACTTCCTGTTACGCTTACTGTGGGAAACAAAATCTTCTCGTTTCTGTAAGCTTTCCTTCACCAGGATGGAGGTCCAGGAGGACTCTGGGCCAGAAGCAACTTGCAGTTTTCAGTTTAATTATTGGCGACCCTTTTACAATATTAATTTACACGGTTTCCTCAGCGCTGCGTTTCAAACGCACTTTGTCGAATAAATCGGCCTTTTGGCAGGAGCCCAGGCGAGACACTGTTATTTGTCATCCCTTGCAGTTGGTCAGATCTGTAATATTGTTGGCAGTTCCTGCAGATCAGATAACAAGAGCTGAATGGCCAAGGTCTCATCTTTACACTGAAATTTACCAGAATAACGGATTTTTTTTTCCATGAATTGGCCAGATTGACATTCAGACTATTATTGCGTTCCGTGTGGCTCTGGCCAGAAAAGGGTCATGAAGAGGATTCCATAGATCGGTTAAACTGTTTGTCTTCTTAGCTTTCTGGTATTAAATACGTTGACGTCTTTCTGTCCTTTCATATGTCTTCCTGAGTTCCTCGAGGCTTTGGGAATCGCTAGGGTATCATGAGTTGTAGACAGGGATAAAAGTACACGTAAACGACCGTGCATGAAGTCTTATGTAACGGGGACGTGACTC